ACAATGGTATCACACAACATCAGAGTGAGCTGGCTAGCAATACTAGTTATATTTCTGAGCTCTGGGTTTGACTGAGAGACCCTGACTAAGTGGCTAAGGCAGGAGAGCAATGGGGGATTATTCCTGACATCAACTTCTGGCTTATAGATATGAAAAATGGAAACAGAAGGAAATAAAAGCCTGTACTATTTGCAAAGTAGTGAGGAAATGATTTAAGCAAAGCAATAGAAGAGGTCAGAACCTACTGTGAAGGAACAGTAGCCACGTGAGTGAAGACACTCAAGGACCTCAGGTATTTTTAGGGACTTCCTTTTATGGGCTAGAGACATAATTGGGGTGTTCTTCATTTTGATTGACAGACTTCTGACATGTAGATCTTTGCTTACTGCACATGTCGTTTCCCAAAATACATCTGATTTGGGCTGGAGAGATGGCTCAGAGGTTAAGAGCACTGACTGTTCTTCCAGAGGTCCTGAGGTCAATTCCCGGCAACCACATGGTGGCTTACAACCATCCGTTATGAGATCTGGTGCCCTCTTCTGGTGTGCAGATATACATGGAAGCAGAATGTTGTATACATAATAAATAAATAAAAATCTTAAAAAAATACATCTGATTTTAAGTATATGCACACCTAATTACACATAGGCATAACTTGATAAATAAGGGAGTCTCCTTAAAAGCCCACCTAGACATAGTTTGCCTTATTTGCACACACATCCCAAACCAGTTGAAGCTAAATTGGCCTTTCTATTCTACCTGGATATATATAGAGTATGTTTGAATAAAAACTAGCCAGGCAGTGGTGGCACACACCTTTGATCCCAGCACTCAGGAGGCAGAGGCAGGGGATCTCTGAGGTTGAGGCCAGCCTGGGCTGCAGAGCAAGTTCCAGGACAGCCAGGGCTACACAGGGTAAACTTTGCCTTGGAAAAACAAACAAACAACCCCCCCCAAAAAAAAAAAACAAGAAGCTGCCAAGTTGCATTGCTAGAAGAGGGGTAGCTATGTGCACAACCCATGCCAAGTGGATTCCTGTTTATTATGCTTGTCAGCCTCATTTCTACTTTGCTCCATTGTCTTCCCCAACTCCTCTTTTAAAGACTATTCCTTCCAGTCTCATGGGCCCCTTCCGAGTTGACTGGCCTTGCCCATGTTTATTCCCACCTATACACACATATTTACAGTCTGAGGTTAGAATCTGCCCGTGAGAGAGAATTTATGGCATTTGCCTTTCTGAACTGGGACTACGTGGCTTAGTCTAATATTTTCTAGTTATCTGTCTTCCTGAAAATGTCATGTGTCATGTGGAGGAATAAAATAGCATATATCTCTGGCCCACTTTTTCACTGTGCATTCCTCAGTTAATGGACATCTAAGTAACTACATTTCTTGCTAATCTTGCTAATGTCACTTGAGTGCAGTGAGATGGGGAGCAGGCATCTCAGTAGTAGGCCACAGAGTCCTCTGGGTGGTTTAGCTAGGTCATATGGCTATGGCAGTTCTACTTTTGTGGTTTTTTTGTTTTGTTTTTTAGACATTTTATTACTTGTTGTTATTGTTTTGTTTTGCAAAACAGGGTTTCTCTGTGTTGCCCAGGTTCTCCTGGAACTCACTTTGTAGACCAGACTGGCCTTGAACTCAGAGATTTGCCTCTGCCTCCCCAGTGCTGGGGTTAAAGGCGTGCACTGCCACCACCTGCCTTTTACATTTTACTTATTCAATGTTTTTTTGCTTGTGTGTGTGTGTGTGTGTGTGTGTGTGTGTGTGTGTGTTTTATGTGTGGGTGAGTGACCTCATGGCATGGTGCAGGCAGTGTGGAGGTCAGGGAACAACTTATGGTAGTTGGTTCTCTCCTTTCACGGAAAAATCCTGGGGATGGAACTCAGTTCACCAGGTTTAGTAGTGTCAAGTATCTTTACTGCGGAGCCATCTCATTGGACCAGATCTTACTTTTTAGAGAAGCCTCTACACTGACTTCCATGTAATGGCCGCACTAGTTTACACCCCCACTAACAGTGAGTGAGTAAAGGTCTCCTGTCCTCCACGTCCCCCAGTGTTTGTTCCATCTCAGTGAGGTGAGATGGAATTTCAAAGTATTAAACTTTAAAAAAAAAATGATGTGTGTGAGTGCTTTGCCTGCAAGTATGTATGCACACCCTGTTCATGCCCTCAGAGGTCAGAAGAGAGTGTTAGATCTTTTGGAATTGGAGTTACAGATGGTTGTGACCTGCCAGGTGGGTGCTGGAAACTGAACCCTGGCCCTTTGCAAGAGCACTAAGTACTGTAACCACGGAGCCACTTCTGCAACTCCTCAAAGGTGTTTTAGCTATGTTTCTCTGATTACTAGTGATGTGTTGGTATTTTTTGAGCACTATCTATCATTTCAAGATTAGCAATGGTCCTTATCCTGCCAAGGGAAATTTTTAGCAGAGAGAAACCTCCAGAAGTGCTCTGGTGGAGACATGGGGCTCTCTAGGTATGGCTCAGATGGAGCCCGTGCTTTGGATCATCTGGCTTGGCATTCTCCACTTGCCAGCTGCTTCCTGGGGTCTTCACCCTCACCTAGCACAAACTGCAAGTACCTGGGATGCCTGTGATGAAGGCCACCTGTGCAATGTCCAGCTCAGAACTGTGACCACCTAATTGCCATCAACCTTTTCTTGCTCCAGAAAGCTTCATTAAAGCTTTGTCACCATCAGAAAAAGCAAACCCCCACCCTCAAAGGCTCCTGACCAGCCTCTGCCCTACCCTTTGCCTGTGCTCACCCAGAGAGAGACTGGTGTTTTTGCAGACCGCCCACTCAGCTCCTGACTCTGCTTTCTTATCCTCCCTGCATGTCTGATTCTCTGTTCAACAACTCTGTCTCTAGTCTCTCTCTGAAGCAAGGCCTCATGTAGTCTAACTGGCCTTGAACTCCTGATATTTCTGCCTCCACCTTCCAAGTGCTGGGATCACAGATGTGCACTATTATGCCTGGCTCAACTTTTGACATCCTAAACTCTATGCCTTCTGACCCTGCTCTCATGAGGTTCCCGATGGTCTTAGACTCACTCTTCAGTGCTGCTACCAACTGGGGCACCACAGATGTCTCCAGATGCTGACTGGTACTACAAAACTATGAGAAAATATTTAAGGAATTATATTAGGAATCTATAGCTAGCTCACATTCCCATTGTCCATTTCACACCTCCCCAAACCTCAGACCCTCACCTCAGCTTCAGATGGCTTTGCTGATTGCTTATAGCAGGGCAGTGCTCTTGAGGTTGACTGGCTCTCCTCCTCACCCTTAACCTTTCCCTCTTGGCACTCTCATGGGAGGTCTGGTGAGGTGCGGACCTCCAATACCACCTACCTCATTTATTTATTTGTGAGACTGGGTCTCAATGTAGCCCTGGCTGGCCTGGAACTCCCTACATAGACTAGGCTGGAATTGAACTCAGAGGTCTGCCTGCTTTCACTTTTAAGTGCTGGGATTAAAGGCATATGCCACCATACCCAGCTCTTTTTTTATACAAAGACTTATGTGTTTTGCTTATATGTATGTATGTACACCACATGTATGCTTGGTGTCTACCAAAAGAGGGCATTAGATCCCCCGGAGCTGGAATCACTGAAGGTTGTGACCCACTAAGTGGGTTCTGGAAAGCAATCTGTGTCATCTACCAAGAACAAGTGCTCTTAACAACTGAGCCATCTCTCCAGCCCTGTGGACTCTTGAATCTGCAAGCCAGGGAGATAATTCCTAACTCGTCTATTATTCTTCAGCTCTGAGTAACTCCTCTCTTCTCAGCCCTTCTTAGCTCTGTGGAAGCTTCCTGCCATGAGTTATGCTTGCTTGTCCTTTAACAAAATTAGTAATCTCCCCAGCTCAACTTCTCCACTCTCGCTTGGATTCTCCTAAAGGGAACCCCAGCTGCTATGAAAGGTCAGAGGCCAAAAGGCCTTGGGTGCAGCACTCCCTTTGTGGGAGGTACAGTCTGTCAGTTCTCAGGAGACTCTCAGCTTCAATTCAGATCCTACCTCTCCAACTTCAGGTACCTAACAGATGCTCAACACTCTCAAAACGATGCTATTGCACCTTCCATGAAGGGCATGCCTGTTCAGGTCTTATATTGGGGCACCTGCCTATGTGGCCCAGCAAAGCATGGCTTCCTTTCAGCAAAGCAGGCTACAGTGGGACACCCCATCTACCATGACAGAGCCTGAGCAGAAAACTCAAAGATCTGGTGATACATAGTGACTATATCTTAATAGTGCGTTGAAAGCAATCTCCTAACCTGTCCTCACATTGGCAGTTTGGGTTACGTATAAGCTTTAATGATCTAGGAGGGTGAGTTTGGCAGAGGTGGGTAGAGAGATGGTCATTCATGTATCTGTCCTTTCAAGGTTCCACTTTTTGGGATCTATTTCTGGCCAACACCCACATGCTCTGGGACACTGGGGAAGGAGGCTGGAGCCTTCTCCTGTATGACAAGAACTCACTTGCCTTCTTGCAGGGGCCACAAACATACCAGAGCCTGGCAGTATCTTTGTACCTCAGTCGGGCAATGGGATGCACACTGGTGACACAAAGTTGGGAAGGGAGTCACAAGGTTTCCAGCTAACTTGGTTAGGCTAGCTGGGCTGTGGAAGGCCTCCAGTGTCATGCTGAGGACAAAGTCCTCATGAGACAGGGATGCCAAAAGCAGCCCTCCACTCTGAGGGAGTGAGTCACTGTGCATACATGGCCACCAGAGGCACTTAGTTTATTTTGTGGTTTTTCAAGACAGAGTTTCTCTGTGTAACAGTCCTGGCTGTCCTGGAACTCACTTTGTAGATCAGACTGGCCTCAGTCTCAGAGATCTGCTTGCCTCTGCCTCCCTCATGCTGGGATTAAAGGCATGGGCCACCAGTGCTGGCCAGCAGAGTTATGGTTCACTCCAACTCACAAACTGCTTCCTGTAGCTATCTGGTGGACGACTCACTTTTCTTCTCAAGATACAGTGAACATGACCAGATCATTTTAATTTCCGAATTTATTAAAATGATTAACCTCAATACTGCAAGTGCATGTACAAAATATTTGTAAAAAATGTTTTTAATGAAACGTTAAAGAACTTACCTCAAATGCTGAAAAAGTCCTTTTTCATTCTTTCAGTACAAGGAATACATTGTATCTCAAAAGTATTACAACTCAGCAAAACAATTTAAAACAGTAATTTGAAAAATGATTGAAAATTGAATACTTTACATATATTTCTAGGATCATTTCCTAATTCTTACAATTGCCAAAAACTTTACCAATCATTGCATAAGCTCAAGCTGAGAGTTTTATTGAGTGTAACCTCTTCCAGACTGGTCAAGAGTGTGGGTTCTGGCACCCCCACAGTGAAGTTCTACAGCAGATCGAGAACAGTCCGAGCGAGGCCCCTGCCTTGAGAAACGGAAATAAGGTTCCCTAGAAGGCATCAGCAGCACTGCTGAATGCTTGTGCATACGACTCCTGAGAGGCAGCAACTCCTCACGATGTCACTGCTCTTAGACCCATGGGAAGGTCAGCCTCTAAAGACGAGGCCACAACAAAACTAAATAAACAGCAAAAATAAGTTACTAAAATTAAGCTTAAAAATGGAGAAAATGGGAAATGTGTTATTTTGTTACTTTTTCCTTAAGACTGAAATTCCTGAAATGGCTATTGTTGCATTTCAAAGAAATGGGAGGATTTAGTCTCTAAGCCTCTGCAAACAGTCCCAGTGAACATGGGGAGGAGGGTGCCCTGCTGTCCTGTGTAGGTTCCTGAGCCCACCTTCAGCTTCCTGGAGGTGGCACTTATGCATAGGGACTCCATGAGGACTGGAAGCACCATGGAAGGTGCTCTGGGTGCCTTGAGACAGGAGGTCCTGAGACATAGGGCTGCCCTATTTCACGGCTTATAGCAAAAGGTTGTGTATGCAGGCACAGTCTCCCTCTTGCTTCCAAATGAGACAGAACTTGAGGGTCAGACTGCATGGCAACAAGGACAGACTGCAAGGACACAGCAGGGATCTATCATGCACAGAAGCATAGACATCTGAACCCTAGAAACACCCATGAATCTCACTAACATCACATCTAACTGGAACCCACTGGCAACAGTTTTAAGGATCCAAGTGTCCCCAAGCTGAACACTAGTAGGTGTCATCAGCAACAGGGAAGCACTGAGATACTTTGTTGGACCTTTCACTCCCTGCAGGTCCCCTCTGACTCTCTGGAACACCGAGTCCATTAGCTTGTGTTGTTTAGGAACACTGTGTATCTGAAAGGACACCTACACATTTCCCAGTAAATAAACAGACCCACTGGTGTCAAACACCTGCTACAAACTGATATTCTCAAATTCTTTGATTTTTGTAAAATAATCCAGAGAAACAAACAAGTCTGGTATTGAACATAAAGCAGTAATCAAAAATTGCTCATTAAGTTACTTAAAATTAATTTCTCTTCTCAAAGTGCTTCAAAAACAAATTAAATCTGACTCCTCTTTTTGTCTGACTGATAATATAATCAAAAAAATCTGATATTTTCATAATAAACTAACATAAGCCAAGAACGTCCACTGATGCAGTGCTTACACTATATATTTATAATTTCCTATTTTATTGGCATGAATATTTCTAAACTTAAAAACCTTCCTGGTAAGTTCTTTTAATTTCTTATGACAAAAATTTCTCACAACACACAAATATTTACAACATATACATAGTTTTCAGCTCTTTACATTGAATCCCAAAGACAAATGTTTGTATAGGTTACCACAGAACAAAAGCTGTGACTCATGTTTTTATTTTATAAACTATTATAAGTTAAAGTGAATAGATTTCTTTAATATTCCTTGTAGCATTTTACAAGTGCAACAGAAACTTGAAGACCCAAATTAAGATAGCTGGAGTTCATCAGACAAACGATGCTTGCTGTTGCCACGCTGTTCACAGCAAAGGTTTGAAAAAATAAGCACCAATCATTCTTGCAAAGAACAATTTTATCTAAAAGGATTGGAAAGTGTTAAATACACGGTCTTTAATTTACATGACAAGCAATAAATAAGCTGCTTTGAAAACTCATCCTGCACACCACCAGCCTGGTACATATAATGTACTGAAAATGAGCTGTCATACAGAAGACTGCATTTTAATTTAATTTTTTTTCTTCAAAGAAATCAACCTGACTTCCAGCCAATGGTCTCTATGATAATGAAGGCCACGGACAGGACACCTGGGCCGGTAAACAGTGTGAAACCAACACAACTCCAAAGAGGAACATCTAGCAAATAAACCCAAAGCCAGAGGTCGTTGCTGGTGATTCGAGCGGATGCTGGAAACCCTTCCCAGGAGGCTGCTCCGCTCCAGACTAACTACAGTTTAGTCATCTATGGAAGAGGGCTGGCGCTTGCTCTTACAGGTAAGTGACAACATGGTGGAACCACATTAGTGTCTGAAGGTCCTGTGTGGAGAGCTGCTGTCATCGGACAGTTTGCTGGAGCCTCTATCTTACAACGGGGCTTTCCCTCTAACTCGGAATTGCACATAAGAAGGCTATTTAAAAAGTACGATAAAAATTTGCACAAATCAGACTTAGGAGTCGGGATGCTGTACACTTTCTACAGTATTATGCCTACAGGTAAAGAGACCACAGAAGTGCTGCGCTGAGAAGCTGTGGCTGGGATTTTTATTTTTTAGTTCCCCAGGACAACTGAAGAGTGAGAGCTCATGCGTTCAGCCTTAGAGACTGATCTTCTCTTCTCCTTGAAGAAATGTCGATATCTATGGAGTCTTTACCAACAATTAGCCTCAGCCGCTTTGCGGGAGGAAGAGGGATGAAGTCATCATCAAAGTCGTCCTCGCAGTCCTCCTCCTCCTCTTCTCCCTCAGAAGACGATGAATCATCTGTGCTGTCCTCCTCGTACTGACTGTAGTCGTCCACCTCCATCTGGGACTCCAGCAAGGAGAGGGGATCACTGCAGCACACTCCATTCTCATGAAGCCCCTCTGCATATGGCCCCCTGCTCTCCTCATCCCGCTTGAGCTGGATCTTGAGCTTGGTAGAGCTGCCGCCTGGCCCCGAGCTAACCCCATTACTTAGCTTTGCGACATAGAGGTTGCTGTCACTTTCATGGTCTTTGCTGAGCTTGATGCTGATTTTTGAGTTCATACCATCACTCTCATGGTCGTTTGTCTTGCTGCTGCTATCATGCCGCCTGCGAAGTGTCAGTTTGGGGATCCCAGAGCTGTTCTCCAGTATCAGCTGTGCATCGTACCTGGTGACCCGACGCTTCTTTTTACTTTGTGCAGTTCTGAAACTGTCTTTTGTTGTGAAGCTGTCGGGTGTGACAATGGAACAGCCAACAGGTGAGGGAGCAGAGTCTGTGTAGCTCACAGGCACCCCGATCGTGCCACTGGGCTCACCCTGGTCAGGATGGGGAACTGGCAAATCTGGCAGCCCATCTTTCCCGGGGAAGCCATGCTCCAGACTGCAGTCTTCTGCCTTTGCTAAGTGTTTCATGGGTTTCCCTTGCCGAAATTTCTTTCTTGATGGGCATGGGTCACTCTTGGGACACTCCTGGGACGCTTCCTCCATATGTGCAGTCTCTGGAGCCAGTTCTTCCAGAACCTCTGGGGTTGGGTGCTGATCACTGTCTGGGCAAGGTTCCAGAAGGCCATTTTTATAGCCATCTAAGGGACTTGGTTCAAGCTTGATGTCAGTGGCTTCCTTCAGACCTGTCCTTGTCCTCAATGAGCGCCGGGTTGTGTAGGTGCAGGGCAAACTGTCCCCCTGCGAGTGAGCACCTCTCCCAGGGTTCTGCCTGTGTTCTCTGGCGGCATGCCTCGTCAAGCACCCACTCCCCACAGCAGCCTGCTCTGGCCCCTCTGGCTCCTTCTCTTTCTTAATTGGCAAATTTTTATATAGCACAACTTTAGGCTCCTTAAGCACTAAGTTTCCCATCTCAAGCTTCCGTGATGCATTCTTCTGGTCCAGCCGCTTGCAGTGATTCCTCAGTTTGATCTTGGAAAGTAAAGGCTTTGCCGGCTTTCTTAGTTTCTTTGGTACCCTGGAATTGTTCATGTGCGTTAGCTTAGGTGAGGTAGAGTTAGAAGCAGCTGGGACTCTTGGCATGGACTGCCTGGTCAGTGTTCTGCTCTTGCTGCTCTTTTTTACACCAACTGAAGATTTTCGGTTAGAAGCTGTGAAGTTTAGAAGATAAAAAAGAAAAGAAAAATGAAACCAGCTTGGTACTGCAGTAACGTGACATGGTTAAACAACCCCCAAAGCAGACCATCAACCACAAACTGCCAACACACACAAGTGTGCAAGGCAGTCCTCAGGCAGTCTCACTAGCATAGCCTCCCTACATTGCCTGTCTATTAGGGTTCAAGGGCCCCAGCATGGCAGGGCCCAGCCTGCTTCTTCCTGGGTATCTTTCTTGTCAGGGCTTACTGGTCCAGACTAAGTAGTTCTCTTACATAAAAGATTTAATGGCAAGGTAAATGAAAACTGCAGTTTCTACCTTTATTTTCTATATGGATGTGTGTATGTCTGTATATATCATATGTACATCTTGGCTGTCTTAGAACTTGATAGACCAGGCTGTTCCTAAACTCTCAGCAATGCCCTTGCCTCTGTCTCCAAAGTGCTAGGATTATAGGTGTGTGATCCAATACCTAGGTTCTCTCCTGAACTCTTAGTCACCATGTCAATTTACCCAAAGTATGTTACTTAGCCAGTACAGCAACAGAGATGAGATACATTAACCACTGGACTCTAAGAAACACATTCTTTCCAATGGTTTTAAACAGAACAGGTTCTAAGAACCATATGTTGTTCTCTCCAATACTCAAGCATCAGCATGGAAGCACACTATCATGCTGTTTGCTCCTATCACCCTTGAGGATGAGAGGCTACAGCAGGTAGCTGTTAGCTCAAGAGCTGCAGAGCCCTACTGTGCATCCCTGACGGCAACAAGCAACTCAGAACAACAGATCTAACTTTTTCCCTCCAAAATAGAAAAGCATACCTTAGGTGACAGCTTAGTGCCTCTTGGGAGGCTGTGGCCCAAGGTCTACCCTTGCCCTGCTGCCTCAATTTTTCTCTCTACATTTACATTCTAGGCTATCACAAAATTTTACATAGTCAGTTTTTAAATTAGTTAATTCTCTCAGTTCTGCAGTTAAAAAGCAAACAAACAAATCTTCCTTTATTGAAACTAGTCAGCAGAGAAGCTGTGGTGACCAAGTGATCAGCACCCTCAGAAAAAGACCAGGGTAAAAGGCAGAAGCATGGGGCCTACCCAACAGTTGGTTGGGGCAGTCTGTTCCTTCCCACACAGCTAAGCAAGGAGCTTACAGTACCCTTTTACTAACTGAAAGGTACAAGAATGTGTAACCAGCATTCTGAAATGATAAACCACCAGGAGCAGAAGGCTATACTTTAGAGACTGGCTTGCCAGCAGCTACAGGCTACCCAAACCAGCAGAGTCCATAGCAATGGGAGCTGCTGAGTGGACCAAGCATCCACATATCTGTATCGGTTGCTGCCAAGGATATGTATGACCTACTTCTAGAGCAGTGTAGTTAAGTATGGATGGCATTCCACTCAAGGCTGAGTGACTTACAGACCAGAGAGTCCTAGAACTGCACACTTGTGCACTCCCCCCCTTCTCTCTCTCTCTCTGTCTCTCCCTGTGTGTGTGTGTGTGTGTGTGTGTGTAAAGACAGGATATTTGGCTCTGAGAAGCCATATAAACACATTAATGTTCTGGCTGTTTCCAGGCACAATCCAAGGGACTGTCTCTCTCATTTGCCATACTTTCTCATATATGGTTTCTTCCAGAACTAGCTATGATCAGGCTTTGCAGTCTCTAGCTTCATTTCCCCTTTTCCATCCCATTCCTGCTCTGGAAATACAATTAACCCAGACACTGACTGGATCCATAGCTCCTGTCAGCACCCCTCTATAGCCTGGACTCTGTCCTTTCAGTGGGGTAGCCTTTGCTACATGGACCATGGCAATAAACCCAGTATACACTTTCCAGTCCTTTTCTTTTTTTCAATTCTAGGGACTGGACTATGGTAACCATTTTCATCTCCCTTGGGCTAAGAACATATGCTCCCAGTCCTCCCTTGGCCCTGGAAGCCCACCTATTATTCTTCAAGAATCTGCCAGCTCAAGCCCCTTGAACATCATTTTCCAGGTGACAGGTATCACCTGCCCAGTTACCACCATTCAGATTCCAGCAATTCCCAAGCCTCCAGCCCCTCTCGTCTGAACCACAGATCCAGACTGCTAACTATTGGCTGAAGTTGCTCTGGAGCCAACAGACCTGCACTGTCCCTTAGAACTCTAGCAGCTTTCCCCCCAGTCTCCATCTTGTCAGTAGATGCCTACCATTTGCCCACTGCCCAAGCAGGAAACTGACTACCCTTGACTCTTCTACCTTAACTGCCTCATACAGTCACTTGCCAGTCCTGCAGCATCTACCCCTGCAGTGTCACTGGAATCCATCTGCTTCTGTTGCACATGCTACTACCTCCTATCTGGACCATGCATGGCACTTCCCTGCCTCTCATCCCTCCAAAGCCAGAATGACTTGTCCTACCATCTCATGTCTCTCTGAAACAACCCTTTCACTAACCCAATGCCCTGAGAATAAGGCCTGAAATCTTCAGCAAGGTCCCATTTCATATTCTCTCCATCTGCAGAAGCAACAGGCTTTCTGATCAAAGCCTTCTACTGTGGGCATGTGCATGTAAGGCCCTCTGCTTTGGACATGCTTCACCTGGCCAGTTCATCCTTTAGGGAGTGTCTTCTGACTCTCTTCGCACCCAAGGTTCTCTCTCTGTACTTAGTCCTTAAACAATTGGTCGAATTCCATTTTAAGGTGATTCTGACTCTGGGTTCTCCCAGTCCCCCATTGGTAGCAGTGGCAACCACTGACAAAAGTGGTTCTTGTGTTTGTGATCAATGGACTACACTTGAAGGCACATTATTCCAGTAGGTACTGTCTTTATGTGGATGCCACTGTTTGAAAAGTACCATCTTATCCAAAGTCCAGTGAAAAGGAGAGCTCACTGAGAGAAATGAGCAGAGAAATGTGATTGAGTCTCCTCTAGAGTACTAGGGGCCAGTTACTATGCATACTTGTGTGTGGGGGGTGGAAGGGTAGGAATTCAGTGATGGTAAGGCTAGAGGAGGAAGCTGGTGGCCACAATTACAAACTGAGTCAACCACTTCAGAGTGTATTGAAACTCAGGGTCCTGATACTCAGAGGCAGGAGTGCCACTACTGCTCTTGCTGAAACCACTCTCTCTTTTGTAATGATCAATAAACCCTAAATGCATAACCTGGATGTTAACCTTGGTGGGGTGTACATTCCTGACTGCTACATGCTAGACACTGTGTACAAGTCATATGATGACCTAAAATGGCTCTTACCACACCTATGAAGGAACCAAGCTCTCATGGGCTAGTGGGCCCCAAAACTCCATCTGCTGGGAAGTAGGACTTGAGCTTGGTTGTGGCTCCAGATCCTGAGTTCTTGATCACAGTTATGCTGCTTGTATTATGGCTTCAGTTACAACTCAGGAGACACTGTATGGTCACTGCCTGTGATGGCTCCAAGGTGTTTTTTAAACCACTCAGTGTGCACCATAAAGGAGCATGACAAAAGAACACCAGTGCTGTCTTGAGCTCTCAGGATAGGCTGGCAATGCATGTGAATCAAGTTTGTATAAAAGCCATGTCTAGGTTAGAATCCAGAAAACCCTTAGTAGCATTTAAAATCTCCTGTTTACCCGGTACTCGAGCCATTGCCTGACATGACTGAATAGAAAGAGTGATGGGAAGGGCATATAAGGGCAGGCCTGACAAGAGTGTGAATCAATGAGAGGTGACAGTGTTAAGAAGAAGAGGCAGCACTGCCTTCGTGCCCAGCAGGTACCCTTTAGTCCACATAAAGTCATTCTACTGGCTAGGTCTGCTGGGCCCGCACTGGTTTATGATACGGGTAGTGACTGTCCACAGTTTTGGGTGCTGCTTGAGTCTTCATGGATCATGTAAAATCACTAACTTTAGGAGACAGTGAGGGATTGAGGCCTGGAAATCCAGGGCCCTCCAAAGGGCAATGGAACTCAGACTGGAAGACTCCCTTTGGGTATGGGATTTCTTGTTGACTCCACTCCTGAGTGCTAAAGCAGAAAGCCAAGTTGAAGCTCTTGGGACATCATCTCTCAGGCCTTTTGTGGAGGAAGAACGTTTTCCTCATGCCTAGATAGCAAGGTTGCCTTGTATACCTGCTAAAGCAGGACCTCTACTAGCTGCCAAATTGTAAGTGAAGGCAGGGGAAAGAGAAGCAGGCAGGGCAAAAACAGTCCCTGCCTACAGACCAGACATGCCTGCAGGCCTGGGAGAGAGCTCTGGGGCTTGATAGCTTTTCTCATCCTGTTTCATCTCACTTCTGTTTTTTCTTTCCTTTTTTTTTTTTTTTTTTTTTTTCAGACAGGGTTTCTCTGTGGCTTTGGAGGCTGTCCTGGAACTAGCTCTTGTAGACCAGTCTGGTCTAGAACTAACAGAGATTCGCTTGCCTCTGCCTCCCGAGTGCTGGGATTAAAGGCGTGCGCCACCACTGCCCGGCCTCACTTCCTTTTTCACAGGGTAAAGATGAAGCACAAACACTAGAAAGTACAGCCTTCAAGAAAACATGTCAGAAGGCAAGTGAGGGCCAAAATCTGTAAATCCTAACACTTGGAGGGTGAGGCAGGAGGAACCAAGTGTATGGCTTGGACTATCTAGCAAGACCTTGTCTTTTAGAAAACAACACATAACAGGTGAACACACTTGCAGGCAAGCTTGATGACCTGAGTTCCATTCCTGGGACCAGCATAGTGGAAGGAGAGTACTGACTTGTCCTCTCACCTCCACCCATGTGCCATGGGTCACACCCCCACTCTCCAGGAAAAACAAACGAAAAGTTAAAAAAAATAATTATAAAACAGCTAAATGTTTGTAAGAAATAAAGAAGTCGTTATGTGAACATGACTTAATGCACAATGGTTGCAGAGAGGGTAAAGGATACACTATGTGACTGACCTATACAGTTTGAGATGTCATCAAAATCCTGAGGCACTGTGGCACCATCTTTATAGCCAGACATGAGAGTGGCAAAATAACAACCAAGCCTTGGCTCCTTCTAAACCCTGGCCCATGCCTCTAGATCACTGACAGTAAGCTCTGGCTTACCCTAACATTCATGTTGCAAAAAGGCGTTCTGAATCAACCAAGCACCCAACTCAAGTAGCCACTAACTAGCAAGGGGGAACTTTCTATTCTAAGATGCTGAGACTACAGCTTAAAGGTGCTATGTGTTCTCTCTGCCCTTGAGAAAAGCTGGGCGGGTCTAAGTCAGCTCTGCAGTGATTTTTGCACTTGTCTTGGAGCTGAGGCATAAGCTCCCAAGGATGGTCCAGAACCACCCATATCTTGGTACTTCTCCAGAAAAGTACTGGATTTAGTAATAAATATTTCCCATGCTGTAACATACTAGCACACACAACACCTCTGGAAAGTATGTGTATTTAAATACTTAAAAGCTTAAGTATTTAAGTTAAGTGGTGTACTGAGTTTACAATGTATTTTCTAATAATCAAGTTCATCCACTGAAACACAGGAACTCTCTCATTCATCAGAGATATTCTCTGAGGGCAGCTTTGTGGCTGTCTGGATGGCAACGTACGCCTCAGTGTTTCTATGTGTAAGTATTTATGAAATGGGCTTCACAAGCCTCCAGTGTCTTCAAGGAACCAGACTCAAGAAAACAAAGTTCATTACACTGCCTTTATTAACAGAACCAACAGTCAACAGTGAATGAGAGACTAACAACTCCTCCCTGTTCACTTTGGGCCTCAGCTAAGAAGTGTAAACTTGAGCTACACTACTGCTTTTATACTAGAGGTTACACCTGGCCTTGAACTTCAAGTAGCAAGTAGATTCAGATATCCACGTAGTGGCATTTGCTATCATGAAGACACCTTCCCTTTTCTTCAAAATTTTCTGTAAGGGAAGGGAGCACCTGTGGATGGGCTGAAAACATCCGAAGGCATGGAGAAATCCTGGAACAACCAGAGCCTGAGGGGCTCCTAAGTACTCAGAGTCACTGACACTGGAGTGGTGGAAAAGGCACTCAGTGGGCAACCAAGGCAAACCTTTCTCACTGATGACTCTGGTTGAGACAAGTCAGACAGGAGAACCTGCTGTTGTAGTGGCATCTCAAGGACACTAATGTTACCCAGATGAAGGACAGCAGCCACAGATGTCCCACACTTCAAGCTCTACAACTGCTGTGATGCCTTTGACCTATTTAGTGTTTTTTCTCTTTGTTTATTCACCACAACCACCCCCAATTTCCATTGGATATTCCACCAACATAAAACTGGCAGCTCACAGCTTGCTACCTTCTGTAGTGGTAATCACACACCATACAACACAGCCACATCCAAATACTCCTCTGGCACACTTCTCTGCACAGTGAACCACGTTGATTCAGTAAAAAAATGCTAAGCAAGTAGTAAAAAGATGGCAGCCTTGAAGCATAATGAACTCTGAGTCCCTCCTGCTCCTAGACTAGCTGGAGATGGACACGAGTAGCCAGATTAACTAGCTAAGCTCTTGCAGGGCCTAAAACACCATTACAGTATCACTAATGACTTGAAAATGTTTTCCTCAAACATGATGGTCCTGGAACATATGATAAATACTTCAACATCCAAATACCAAGTATTCAAAAATACATATAGAGGTTGGCCCTGAATTTGGAGTGGACACAAACTGCTATGGACTCAATGCATTTTTAGCATCTTGCAGTGCAGCTAAAGCCTCGAGTCCCAGTTTCTATCAATGTTTAGAGCTTCAAAAGTGGAAGCATGCTTTAGTAAGCACTGAAGAATGTAACCAACATCTTAGAGCAAGCTCCCTTACTTACTTGCATTGTCTTTTTCCTGAGTGGTGTCTGCATCAGTGTTAGAGCTGACAGACTGACTGTCTGAATTTTTGCTGCTGTCACCTAACTTTTTAAGCCTATTTAAGCGTTTATCTGTTTCTCTGAGTCCATATTTGCTATTGATAACAGGAGCAGGCGCAGGCAGTCCTACTCTGGATTTAAAAGCACCAGTTCCCCGTCTGAAAGAGAAAACAGCAAAGGTCAAACAAATGAAGCAGATTACTTAAAAACAAGGTTGGCTGCTGAGGGTACTTGGCCACATCAGGTCAAGGGCTGAGATGAACTGAGATCTCAATCACAGTTAGATAACTGCCAGCTCTAAAGCTCTCAGGAAGATTCAGCATGAACCTGCAAAAATCATTTAAAACATTTTTTTAAAAAACTTAATTTTATGTGCATTAGTGTTTTGCCATGGGTGTCAGGTCCCCTTGAACTGGAGTTACAAGCAGCTGTTAGCTGCCATGTAGGTGCTGGTTAACTGAACCAGGATTTGTTTCTGGAAGAGCAGTCAAGGCTCTTAACCACTGAGCCATCTCTCCAGTACCCCAAAACCACTTTAAAAAACTATACTTACAACTATCTCAATTGTTCATTAGCTGCCTGTGGACCTGCATCTATAGATACATTACGTAGCCAATTCTTCATTTACATTTCCTTTCAGGCAGGCAAAGCTAAAATCCATTACCCATTTTACCTAGCACTTAGTTTTCTTACACCATGTCTGTCCCTGACAGTAAGCCTGCAATGAACACATGTTTTGAAAGCTCACATTTCCATAGAACATATATGAGCATTTTTAATGTTCTCTGGTAATATGTGTGTGTGTGTGCTCAAGTGCTGGCTCACATGTACACGCTCACATAGGTGCCTAGAGAGGCCATTAGTGGCATCAGATCCTTTGGAGCTGGAGTTACTGAGGGTTGTGAGCTGCCTGACACAGGGACTGACACTGGAACCTGGGTTCTTTGAAAAGAGCAGTATACACTCAGCTACTGAGATGTCTCTTCATATGTCTTTGACTTGAATCTGGTCATTCAAGCATTTTTAGATTTACTACTTATATTATCAAGATCTTTAAAACTCTAAAGTTAGAGCTAGGCGTTGCTGGTGCACGCCTTTAACCCCAGCACTCGGGAGGCAGAGGCAGGCAGATC